CTGTCCTGCTGCATCTGCTTAAGCTCTGGGTGTTGCTGGGACCGTGCATCCACTTCCTGACCCTGTCTGTGCACGGCCCTGCGTCTAGCCCCAGTGCAGCCTGCCTCCCTGCCCGAGGCCCCCAGGGCTGTTTTGCAGCAGGGTGAGATCTGTTTGAGGCCACCCTGCCCTTCTTCTGCAGGGCTGGGGCAAAGGGGCTCTGCAGGCCGCCTCAGCCACCCCATTTCTAGGGCGGCCTGCTTGTGGTGGACTAGCAGCCTTTCTATGCTGAAGGTGGTGGGGGTCTTTTCAGTGTTGTTCTATTTTCTTTCCTATGAAACGGAGCCCCTCCAGGGCAGGCCCAGGCCCCTCCCAGCCTGTCTGGGCCACAGATACCTGCAGCTGTGGCCAGTTTCCAGGGTTTTGAGGACACCCGCTCCAGCAGCCCTGAGCACACCTGCATCTTCAGTCTCAGTTTGAGGGGCTGGAATGGAGAGGGAAGATGATTTGGAAGGATTTGGGGAGAGAAGAGATATACAAGCCAGGGCTGTCTGGGTTTGGCCCAGGTGTGTGCCCCCTTCACCACTCCACTCTGTAGATTCCCTGTGGCAGAGGATGCGATTGCAGGCCCCACGGAAGTGCGGAGGGTGGAGCTGACGCTGGCTCTGAGTTGGGAAACAGGCACACTGTGGGTTCATAGTCCTGGGAGAGGCTTAGCAAGGAAACAGGACCAGGCCTGGGGCTCAGAGAGGCAAGAGGAGGGATGGCCTGGGCAGAGGTGGGCTGGGAAGGGGGCAGGGAGGAGGCTGCAGGCAGCTGGGGGTGGCCCTGTGCTGATTGGAAGCTAGCAGTGAGCATCAGGTGGGGGCTGAAGCTTGTCTTAGGGATGGGCAAGAAGAGCACTGGTCCTTTCTTTCCAGCTTCTGAAGAGGTAAGAACTCTCCAGAAGCAGGAGCAGTGGAGGGGGAGAACCGTCCAAGGAAACAGTGCCTCAACTGGCAGGGCAGAGGTCCAGAGGCTTGGCAATAGGAGACGGTAGGGAAGCTGGCGCCGCTGGCAGAAGAGGAGCAAGTAGGGGGTATACTTTTAAGAGACGCCTGATTAAACCTGGGTTTGAGTTCTTTTTCTGTCCCTTACTAGCTAGTGTAGTTCTGGTTACTTAAGCACTCCAGGCCTCAGTTTTGTCATCTCTGAAATGGGAACAGTAGTGCAGTCCTTGACACACAGGAGCTTCTCAAGCAGAAGGAATGAGAGGTACAGGGCAGCAGCACCAGGAGCTCTGCTTCGGGATGTGAATGGCCATGGGTGGACATGCAGGTGCAGGACAGGTGAAGTGTGGGACAGATGAAGTTTCTAGCCTGGACTGTGAGGGGCCTGACAGCCTCCCCTCCCAGGAGCCCCTCCACCTGCCCTGGTCCTTCCAGCTGGCCTGTAGGCAAGCTGGGGCATGCAGGGAAGCCCCTCTCTGGGGCCCGAGGATTTGCTGGAGAGCACTGTGGGTACTCGAGGTTGGTGGGGGTGCAGGGGTTGCCCGGGCACCCACAAGGAGTTGAGGAGCGTGCCTTAGGAGGGAAATCGGTATTTGGGCTGACTGAGGGGAGGAGCTGGACAGCAGAAGGTTCCAGGCCCAGCAAAAGCTGCTGGGATCAAGGTGAGAGAATAAGCACCAGGTGGGAACAGGTAGTACCCAGACCCCATAAACAATTCCTGCTGGGTCCTCAGGCCTCCCTTGGAATACAGAGGGTGGGCTGGTTCTGCCACGCATTGCAGTTGGAGGAGACTTCTTGGGTGAGGTGAGGACTGTTGCTGCACTCACAGACATGTGACAGGCCTTTCTGTGTTGCCTCCCCAGGATGACCCCTCCGGCGAAGGTGTCCTGCCCTCAACCCGCGGCCCAGCCGCCTTCCTCCCCTTCCTCACTGTGGACCTGCCCGTCTACGTCCTCCAGGTCTGGATGGCTTACTGCCCTTTGTTTTTCTTATTGAGACTCACAGAGCCTTCTACTTCTGGAAGGCTGGCTTCACAGCTGCAGGCTGGTCACTGAGGCCGCGTGGCTTGGGAGGCTCAGCGGGTTGGTTGCCAGGATGTCTTGCTGCCTTCTGGAGAAGGTGGGTGAGTGGAGCTCAGATCTGCAGGACACTGCAGCTCCTGCTGGTAAACAAAGCAGGAGAAGTTAATACGCTCTTGAAAGTGCTGTGCCTAGGAATTCCAGTTACTGCTCTGGGAAGAGGGCTGGCCAGGGCCCAGCCTGTGGGAGAATAGACTCAGATGAATTCAGTATAGTTTGCTTACATGGTTAAGCTAAGGATGGGTGGCAGTGAATGATTCAGAGTTTGATATGAAATACCGAAAGTGTATAGCTTACCACATTTCTAACAATTTGCCTTACATGTTTATATATTTACAATAAGCCATGCAAATTGTGTTTTAGTTTTTTTTTGCAAATTGGGCTACTCAGCATTTTCCTCGCAATGAGAACCAAACTTGGACAGAAGCACTGGTGGGAGCAGAGGGCCGGGCAGCACCCGGGCTGCAGAGGGGTGAACTGGAGGGCGGTTTGGCAGCATGGATCAGAGAACTTCAGAAGTGTCTGCTCCATGTGCCTGGCAGCCCCCTCCTGAGACTGCTCCTGAAAAAAAAAAGTAGTGGAATAATCACCGTAGCCCGGAGTCGAATGGTGCAGCAGCAGAAACACTTCTAACACGAGGAGACAGGCTAGATGGGGCCTCCATAGCCCTGGGCCACATGCCGGTCAGCTGTGAGGGCGCAGGCAGACACCTAATACCTGGGAGAGTGCCTTAGGAGGGACCGCATGAGAAGTGGGGAGAAAGGGTTGCAGAAGTAAAGATGATTTTGTTTCTGTAAAAAAGCATGCGGGTGTGTGAACATGTGAGGTATACGTCAGTGTGCGGACAGAACAATCTTGAAAAATCTACAGTACAGTATTGAGTTCATTTTTCCATCAAAGAACATGTGTTTAGAATAAGGGGAGCCTGTAGTTTTGATTAAGAGAAGTCAGGTATCTCACCACAAGCCTGGTCAGTTGCCTGCTGTGTGGAGCCACAGGATCCCTCTGCTTCCCCTCCCTCCTCCCTCCTCATGACAATGCTTGGTTTTGCAGGAGGTGCTCCCCTCATCTGGAGGCCCTTCTGGACCGGAGGCCACCCAGTTCCCAGGAAGCACTATCAACCTGCAGGACCTGCAGTGATGGCAGCCTTGGCCTGGGCAGGCCCAAGGCCACGGTCTAGGACTCACCTTCCCTGAGAGTCAGATGACATGAGCCTGGGGAGACCTCATTTGGTTTCCATTCAGAAGACCAGCATAGCCCTTTTGAGACTTTTGGGTACATTTATCAAAATGTTTTCCTTTTGTTTTACCAGGAACGAGTTCGGGCTGTACTCTTTGAAACTGCCTTTGTGAGCAAAGTGCTTTGGCAAGACAAGGGTCTCCTTCAGCAGGGCTGGGTGCACAACAGCCCCTTTCCCCGTGTCCCATTGATCTGAGCTGTGTAGCACTTGTTGCATTACAAGGAAAAAGACTTCTGCAGGAAATAGGGTAGAGAAGAGGCTCTCTAGTCAGATGCAACTTGATCTGTGGCAAAACCAAGTGGGGTCTTTCCGCTTCAGTGTGTGAGCATCCCAGCACCTGGGATGGGGTTTGTGGGAAAGTTGGTTTTGCCACACTGTAGGACCCAGGAGGTCCCATTGCCACAGTGAAGCCAAATTCTAGCCCAAGTCTGGCAGAGCAGTTGGGCAGCTAGTTTTTTGGGGAGAATGATGTGGTGGGACAGAGGACCTCAGTGGCCTATTACAGTGCCCTCTTTCCCAGACTAAATTCATAGCTGAGAGCTTGGGGGTATAGTAGAGTTAAAATTTTAAGTAATTTTCTAAATTCTGTATTTGGGTATTAATGTCTAAATGGTAATTTGACAATAGTTTATAAAGTGATGTTTTGAATACCATAAATTACGTGTAGGACTGTGATGGTGCATTTATGTTTTATTATTGAGGTTGATGTGCACATAATACGTCAATGTATATTTTTATAGAGTGAGGTCTGTCTTGCAAAAGGAGACAACATGATCACCTTGCCTTTGTTTATTTGTAAGTCTGTTAACTTAGCAATAACACAGGGTCACTCCTAAACGATTTTTTTTTTTTTTTTTTTGCCTTGTGCCTTTTGCAGTGTGTGTTCATTCAGAGGCTGTTTTGGTTCCCAGACTGAATCATTCAAACTGCCATGTTTGTTTCTTGAATTTGGGGGTGACACCAAGTTTGAGTGAGTCCTCCCTTTGTCTTGTCCCACTCCGAGGTGCTGTCCCCAGGTGCTGTTCCACATGGAAGAATCCACACCCATCAGCAAGTGGGTCTTCTCCACAGACCACTGCTCTGTCACCAGCTAAAGCCAAGGAGAGAACTTGCCCACCTGGGAGACTCTTCAGCCCCAAGGTGGCCCAGAGTCCTCCTCCTCCATGGGAGGCTTTTGGCCACTATGGGGGGTGGAGCCGCACCCACCCCATCTCTATCGGGGAGCAGGGTCTGCCCCCAGGAATGCTCTCTTGGCCTCTACTTTTCTCCCATGTGCCTCTCTGGGAACGCCACCATGAAGTGGCTGGGACTGGCACCCAGCATTCTGGACCCTGAGGTTCCCTGCCGGTGACGGGCCCAACTCCTAGTGCAAATGAATGAAAGTTTGCCTCTAGTCATGCACCGAAGGTTTTTCACCTTGGCTTAATTCGAGTAGCTGCATATATGGCGTTCAGCCCGTTGTTTCTCCTTTAGTTGGTAGCGATGGCCCTGCCATATACCCAGCTGCCTGCTTGCATTTCTTTGGTCTTTGCACAGAGGCTGATCTCACACTACACTCAGCGTGAAATTAGCTTTTGTCTCATAGAGCAGCTGTTTTAGATGAGAACCAAGGTGTCATGCTCTTGCCCTCAAGCATCTGCTTAGGGTTAGATGATGAACCGGGGGGATGCTGAGATTTGGCAATGGTGGCTGCGTCCTTAAACAGGCCTTCAAGACTCCAAAAAGACATGAATTTATTCAGGTGAGGAAGGGAGCACACAGGAGGCAGAGAAGACTCAGTTGGGCCATTCAAGACCCAGCCCAGACTCTGCCAACATCTTTGCTAAGCCTTCAGCTAGAACAGCTATGGTCTGCGAAGATTACGTAAAGAAAAATAGCAGCTCCTCCTTCTCCTTGTCCATCAGTGTGTGCTCAGACTCTTGTTTGATCCTGTGGACTGGGGGTTGTGAGCGGCATACCAATGTCCTGCCTCTCTGCAGGGGAAACAAGCCCAGTGAGCCGTATGCCCATGTACCCCTGCCCCTGGTGCAGGGAGAGGCCCAGCAGCTCCAGTCAGCTCCAGCCCACTCTGGGCAGCCCTGCAGGCTGAGGGCTGGAGTTAACTCTGAAATAACTGGGGATGTGAGTCTGCCTGGCATTTATCAAGTCTGGTCCCTGGATCACCACCTCTTAAATGTGGGAGCAGGGGGACCCGCTTCCTGTTGCCAGGGTCAGAAGGCAGGAAAGGCGGAGGCCTTGGGACACAGCAGTAGGGGGACCCCAGTGACAGGCAGTGAGCAGGGCTTGGGGTCTGGCCGGAGTGTGGGTAGGGTGGTGGGACCCTGTTCCTGAGCAGAGTGTACCTGGCTGGGGTGGGTGGGCATGGCTGAACCAGTCTCAGCCTGGCATGGGCCATGAGCTGGCAGCCTGGGGAAGAGCCCCCTGCAGGAAGCAGGTCCTGGGAGAGCCTTGCTCTGAAGGCAGGCTGTCTCCCTCAGAGCCTCAGTGAATGCCTTCAGAGTGGGGGCATTGGGGGCTTGGGCTGCAGGACCTCAGCTGCCATGCTGTCTTGGGACCCCCTCCAGCAGAGACCCCCGGGGCGACCCTGCCTACCTTCTTCTTGATCTCAGCCTGGGCACGCGCCCGGGCCCGCTGCAGACGCTCCTCCTGTAGGATCTTTTGCATCTGGAGCTTCTCTTCTCGAAGTCTGGGCAGCAAGAAATGACGTTGAAAACTGGGGGGACCTGGGAGTTGTTGTGTAATCTCCACACGGAGTCCCCAGGCCAGGCCGTGTTCTCCCTCAAGAAAACTCCCAGCTCCTCTTCACCTCTTGCCAGGTCAAGGCCTCAATACCTATCCACAGCCAAAGCACCACTGCTTCTGGCCAAGGTGGGCTAGGCGCACAGGAGGACAGCCAGGGCCCTGCTATTCCAAGGCTCTGGCTCTGGCCTCCTGCAAGGGCTGATCTAAGGTTCATCCAGCAGACCTCTCCCAGAGGCACATTTCCCTGAATCTACACCCATGGCCTGATCCGTGCACCTGTGGCCTCCCTTGCCACCGTGAAGGTCCAGCATCCCCCTGGAGCAAGAGTCCTGTCTCCGTCTTGTGTATACTCTCAGTCATCAAAGCCTTGTCTGGTACCCACTCCAAGCAGGGCACCAGGGACCCAGAGGAGAAGCCCCTGTGCTTGTGGGCGATGGATGGATGTTTGCAGATTGTGCTGTCTCAGGGCCCTGCACGGGGTGGATGAACCGGGCTGCCCACAGGCCAGGGAAGCCATGACCCCCATCTACCTTGGGTCCAGGCTGGTGTCCCGACAGATGACAAGCTGCCGCCCATCTGCCCCCCTGCACTCCCCTCCGAGCTGAAACTCCCAAGGCTCTCTGAGCCTCTGCACTTCGTCTTCCACTCCAGCAACACTGCTGTAGCCATGCCTTCCCTCTCGGGTGCTGGCAGCTGCCCTTGCCCTCAGCCTCCAGCCCCTCCAGTCCAGCCCCAGAGGGAAGAATCTAACCACGCCCTACCTGGCCATGTTTGCCCCACTGCTTAAAGCCCTCCACTGCTATTCCATGTCTTTGAGGCTGGCCATGATAGCCACACTCTAACTGAGCTCCACCTCTTCTGTCTTCTAGACGTTGTCCCTCCCTGAGCCTCCTGGCCACATCGAGTCACTGTCCTTTGCTCTAGGGAGCTTTCCCTAACCACCCCCTAGTTGAGTGTGATACCCCTCTAGATCCCCCCAAGACCTGGGCTTTTGTCTCATAGCATGGAGCATGAGGGGCCTGTCTCCTGGGAGCGCTTTGAGGGCAGGGCCTATACATGCCCTCTGCCCTCAGGGCCAGTCTGGACACAGCAGCTGGCAGGGAGGGCCTAGAGCTCACCTGATGCGCCGCTCCTTCTCCTTTGCCCTCTCGGCCTGCTCGATCTTGACCTGGGGCACGCGCTCCAGGTTCTCTAGCAGCTCATCCAGCTGGTGCTCAATGATGGTCAGCATCTGCACGGTGCCCAGGTTGGCCTCCTGCTGGGTGCCGATGCAGTTCCGATACACGTCCAGCACCTTCCAGTTCAGGCTCTCTAGCAGCTTATCCTGTGGAGTCAGCGGCTTCCAGCAGAGTGCTGGCAGGCCAAAACCCACCCCCATGCTAGTGCCTTCAGCGGTGGCCTACTGACCTCCCAGGGTGGGGGCCTCCCACTGCTTGGCACACACTGGTAGCTCTGAGAACATAGGCTGAAACAGAACTTGGGAATCTGGCTTGTCTTGGCCAGAGCAGCCTATCCCCTGGGCCCCCTGGAGTCAGCCAGATCCCTGGTTCCAGCCCCTCCCCTAGTTGCCTTTGGTACACCAACAGGGCCCAGTCCCCTCCTCCAGGGAGCCCTGTACCCCGAGCACCCCACAGGGCCATGTCTTCTCTGAGACTATTCTGACACTTAGAAAACAGATAACATGCCGGGCGCGGTGGCTCACGCCTGTAATCCCAGCACTTTGGGAGGCCGAGGCGGGCGGATCACAAGGTCAGAGACGGTGAAACCCCGTCTCTACTAAAAATACAAAAAATTAGCTGGGCGCGGTTGTGGGCGCCTGTAGTCCCAGCTACTCGGGAGGCTGAGGCAGGAGAATGGCGTGAACCCGGGAGGCGGAGCTTGCAGTGAGCCGAGATCGCGCCACTGCACTCCAGCCTGGGCGACAGAGCGAGACTCCGTCTCAAAAAAAAAAAAAAAAAAAAAAAGAAAACAGATAACAGTGCTTCCACGTGGGCTGTATGAGGAGAGAGAAGCAGCAGGCAGGCAGCTCAGCCCAGCCTGGGCACAGCTAGTGCCCATGGACTCTGGCTATATCAGAGGAGTGCTTTCTTGCTCATGGCTGCGTCCCACACCCTTGGCCCAGTGCCTGGCACACAGCAGGCACTTGACAGTAGGAAGCCGCCCCATGCCCAGGGTGGCCCCAGGTGTGCTGTCAGGTTGGGAGCGGGCTGAGCCCTTGGCTGGGTCCTGGCTTCTGCTCAGAACACCACTGGCTTTCTCTTGTCTCCAAATTCTCTCACCCTTTCAGACTGGCTTGGGGACACGCCTCTTCCCCGCCTTCAGGATCACCTTGCCAGGCACAATTTATGTGTTTAAGAAGCAGACACATTTGTTGAATAAAAGAATGAAGCAATGAATGAGGCATGGGGGCAACCAAGCTGGCTGGCACAGGCATCGATACATGTGGTGGCTCCTGGAGGCAGGCAGGGCAAGGACAGCTGCAGGGCACTTACCCAGGCCTTGCCCTCCATCTTCCCAAGGCCTGTCAGGGCTCCTCCAGTGGGTGCCCAAGGGTCCCTCCTTCCCCTGGGCCTCTGGCCACCTTGATCCCCAGCCTACCTGCTGATCACCCTTGTACTCGCCGAAGTGGAAGACTCGGGCTTTGAGCTCCAGCTCAGCTGCTGTGTCCTCCTCCTTGGTGATGGACATCATCATCGTGCTGACCCACTGCTTCAGCTGGTTGACCTCCCTGTCCCTGGAGGAGGGAGAAACCGGCAGGGCATCAGTCACTCAGCGCAGCCCTGGGCACATCGCTTCTCTGAGCCTGACCGTCTGTACAGTGCTTTGCCCCTACCAGCTGTCCTGAGGGCTGAAGGATCATGGGTGCCAAGTCTCTGCATGCCCAGGGGGTCAGAAATGCTGGCAGAATGTAGGGGAAATCTTAAAATATTTAACAGTCAACATTAAAGAAAATAAACAGCTTCTTTGAGGCATAATTCACAGACAATAAAATTAGCATAACCATAATAAAGTATACAAGTCAGTAGTTTTTTTGTATATTCAAGGAGTTTACACAACCATCACCATAATCTAATTTTAGAACATTTTCATCACCCCATGCCCATTAACAGTCACTCCTCATTGTCTCCTCTATCCTTTGGTCTTTTTTTTTTTTTTTTTTTTTTTTGAGACGGAGTCTCTCTCTGTCGCCCAGGCTGGAGTGCAGTGGCTGGATCTCAGCTCACTGCAAGCTCCGCCTCCCGGGTTTATGCCATTCTCCTGCCTCAGCCTCCCGAGTAGCCGGGACTACAGGCGCCCGCCACCACGCCCGGCTAGTTTTTTTGTATTTTTTAGTAGAGACGGGGTTTCACCGTGTTAGCCAGGATGGTCTTGATCTCCTGACCTCGTGATCCGCCCGTCTCGGCCTCCCAAAGTGCTGGGATTACAGGCTTGAGCCACTGCGCCCGGCCTATCCTTTGGTCTTAAGCCACCATTAATCTAACTTTGTGTCTACCCTGAACACTTCATAAAAATGGAGTCACACAACATGCTTTCTTTTGTGACTGGCTGCTTTCACCCAGTATATTTTCAAGGTCCATCCATGTTGCAGCATGTGTCAGCACTTCATTTCTTTTTGTGACTGAGTAATCTTCCATTGCATACGTAGGCCACACTTTGTCGATCCATTCATCCATTGATGGGCATTTGGGTTGTTTCCACCTTTTGGCTCTTGGGAATATTGCTGCTATGAACATTCACGTACAGGTTTTTGTGAGGACATGTTCTCAGTTCTCTCGAATATGTATCTAGGAGTAGAATTTCAACATTCACCTTTCAAGTGAAATAAGAAACAGATGCACAAGGGACATGCTGCTCAGAGTTGGGCCTCAGACCAACTTGGGCATCACCTGAAATGCAGTCTTAGACCTTGACCCACACCTATTGAATCAGAAACTTCATTTTAAGATCCCTGGGGGATTAAAGTGCACATAAAGTCTAAGAAGCACTTCACTATAGGGAACGTGATCTGGTTTCTTCAACAAATGGATGGCAAGGGGGAAAACAGAAAGGAAACCTATAGATTGATTTTATAGATAGAGGAATTTAATGATACAACCAGAGGAATAGCATCAGCAAGATGGTGGAGTAGGGGGTCCTCAGCTCTTGTCCCCCCACAGAAACACTAATTTGACAACCATCCATGGATGAAAATGTCTTTGTCAGAGCTCCAGAATTCAAGGGAGAGGTTATAGCACCCAGTTTATGCACCCAGTGGTGCATAAAAACAGAGAAAAGCCATAGAGAGTGAGAGAATAATTTCACTCTGCCTATGTCACCTCTCTCCCAGGCCATGGCAGTGCTGAAAGACATCTCACTGGCCTGCAGTTTCTCATGTTGGGGGAAGGAGAAAGCAAGGTGGAACCCCAGGTTTCCATGCATTTTGGGGTACTTCCCAAGAGGCCCGTTTCTGTCTCATCTCTGCCAGAGCCCTGGTGTAACTGTCATGGATGGATCACCTAGGGGGGCAGCTAGGAACAAATAAAAGGCACAGGGCCTGATAGCACCCAATGTGCAGACCTCACCTGTCTGTAGACCCACCACAGCACACCCCACCCACCTTGGACCCTGGCAGTAGGCCCTGCCCACAGACCCCACCAGCCAGCACATGGAGAATCTCTGGCTGAGCTGTCTGGCTTTCTCCTTTGGCTTTCCCTGCTGAAGCCAGTCCTTAATGACTGAAAGAAGCAACTCCTTCAAATGTGCAGATAGCAATGCAAGGCCACAAGAATCATGAAAAATCAGGGAAACATGACACCACAAAAGGAACCTGATAAGTCTCCAGTTATTGACCCTCAAGAAATAAAGATCTACAATCTGCCTGAAAAAGAATTCAAAACAATTGTCTTATAGACTCCCAGTGAACTGTAAGACAACATAGATAGGCAACTAAACAAAATCAGAAAAACTGTAAGTTCAACAAAGAAATAGAAACCATAAAAAAACCCCAGAAATTATTGAGCTAAGAATGCAATGACTGAACTAAAAATTTCAATAGAGAGCTGTAACAGCAGACTAGATCAAGCGTAAGAAAGAATCAGGGAACTCAGAGATAAGTCATATGAAATTAGCGAGTTAGAGGAGCAAAAGGGCAAAAAAATGAAAAAGAGAAAAAACCTTATGGGACTTACAGATATCATCAACTGAAACAGTATATGCATTATAAGAGTTCAAGGAGAAGGAGAGAGAGAAAGGGCAAAGTATTTTTTAATTTTATTTTTATTGATACATAATAGATGTATATATTTTTGGAGTACCTGTGGTAATACATTCATATAATTTGTAAAGATCAAATCCGTGTAATTGAGATATCCATCACTTTAAATATTTGTCTTTCTACTAAAAACATTCGAATTATTCTAGCTATTTTGAAGTATACAATAGATTACTTTAGACTACAGTCATGCTACTAATGTATCAAACACTAAATCTTATTTCTTCTATCCAACTTTATATTTGTACCCAAAAATCAAGAGAACTTAAATAATGGCTGAAATGTTCCCATGTCTGGAGAGGGAAATGGATATCCAGATTCATGAAGCCTAAAGATTCCCAAGTAAGTAGAACCTAAGAGATCTACTTTGGGGACATATTATAATTAAATTATCAAGAGTCAAAGATAAAAAGATTTTGATAGCAAGAGAAAAGTGACTTGTCATGTACAACAGAACTGCTATAAGATTATCAGTATATTTCGCAGCAGAAGTCTTGCAGGTCAGGAGAAAATGGGTGGATATATTTAAAGTACTGAAAGAAAAAAATGGCTAAAAGGTATACTATATGCAGCAAAACTATCCTTTAAAAATAAAGAAGAGATAAAGACTTCCCCAAACAAAACCTGAATGAGGTGGTCACCCACGGTACTTACCTTAGAGAAGTGCTAAAGAGAGTTCTACAAGTTGAAACAAAAAGTTACTAAATAGCAACACAAAAGCATGCAGAAGTATACATCTCACTGGTAAAGGTAACATCACAAAAAATGGTTACATTCAGAGGTTTTTGTATGCAATTGAAGTAAATTTGTTATCAGCTTGAAACAGACTATTATAAGATGCTCAGTGTAAGTCTTATGAAAGTAACTACAAAAAAAACCTATAGTAGATACATAAGAAGATAAAAAGAATCAAAGCAGATCACTGAAAAAAAAAAAAAAAAACCCCAAAAGAAAGACAGCAGAAGAGGAGGAACAAGAGAGCTATGAAACAGACAGAAAAAATGAACAAAATGGCAACAGTAATATCAGACAAAATAGACTTTAAGTCAAAAACTGTCACAAGAGGCAGAGAAAAGAAGATTCACATAAAGTCAGAAATTAAAGAAGAGACATTACAGTTGATGCACAGAAAGAAAAAGGAACATAAGGAACTATTAGACAATCCAGAAAAAGAAAAAAAAAAAAAACAGATAAATTCCTAGAAACGTACAACCTACCAAGACTGAATCAAGAAGAAATAGTCTTAACAGATCAATAACAAATAGGGAGATTGACGTAGTAATCAAAACACTCCTAACAAATAAAAGCACAGGACCTCATGGTGTCATGGGTGACTTCTGCCAAACATTTAAGGAATTAACAGTAATCCTTTCCTTTTTTTTTTTTTTTTTTTTTTTTTTTTGAGGCGGAGTCTCACTCTGTCACCCAGGCTGGAATGCAGTGGCACGATCTCGGCTCACTGCAAGCTCCGCCTCCCGGGTTCACGCCATTCTCCTGCCTCAGCCTCCCGTGTAGCTGGGACTACAGGCGCCCGCCACCACACCCGGCTAAGTTTTTGTATTTTTAGTAGAGATGGGGTTTCACCGTGTTAGCCAGGATGGTCTCAATCTCCTGACCTTGTGATCCGCCCGCCTTGTCCTCCCAAAGTGTTGGGATTATAGGCGTGAGCCACCATGCCTGGCCTTTGCTTTTTTTTGTTGTTGTTGTTGTTGTTGTTGTTGTTGTTTTTGACAGAGACTCACTCTGTCACCCAGGCTGGAGTGCAGTGGCACAATCTTGGCTCACTGCAGCCTCCGCCTCCCGGATTCAAGCAATTCTCCTGCTTTAGTCTCCCAAGTAGCTGGGACTACAGGCACGCACAATCACGCCTGGCTCATTTTTTGTGTGTTTAGTAAAGACGGTTTCACCATGTTGGCCAGGCTGGTCTCGAACTCCTGACCTCAGATGATCCACCCACCTCGACCTCCCAAAGTGCTGGGATTACAGGTGTGAGCCACTGCACCCAGCCAGCAATCCTTTCTAAACTCTTCCCAGAAATGGAAAAGGAGGGAACATTTCCAAGCTCATTCTATGAAGCCAGCATCACCTTGATAACAAAGCCAGACAAAGACACCACCAGAAAAGAAAACTTAGGCCAATATCCCCTATGAACATAGATACAAAAATCCTCCCAAAACTATCAAGCAGAATTCAACAGTGCATTAAAAGGATCAAACACACGTCACCCTCACACATGCATAGCCTCTCCCACTATCAACATCCCCCTCCAGAGTGGCACATTTGATACAATCGATGAACCTACCTGGACACATTATTATCACCCACAGTCCGGACTTTACATGGAGGTTCCCTCTTGGTACTGTATATTCTATGGGTTTGGACAAATGTATTATATAATGATACATATCCACCACTATAGCATCATACACAGTATTTTCATTGCCCTGCAAATGCCTTGTGCTTTCCCTCTCTTCATCCCTCTCTCCCCCTAAGACCCTGGTAACCACTGATTCTTTTAGTTTCTCCACAGTTATGCCTTCTCCAGAATGTCATAAAGTTGGAATCATACAGTATATACCCTTTCCAGGCTGAGTTCTTTCACTTAGTAATATGCATTTAAGGTTCTTCCATGTCTTGTCATGACCTGATAGCTCATTTCCTTTTAGCACTGAAAAATATTCCATTTTCTGGATGTACCACAGTTTAATGATTAATACTGTCTGGATCTGTGTCCCTGCCCAAACCTCATGTTCAAATGTAATCCCCAGTGCTGGAGGTGGGGCCTGATGGGAGGTGATTGGATTATGGGGCAGTTTCTCGTGAATGGTTTAGCACCATCCCTTTGGTACTGTTTTCCTGATAGGAGTGACTTCTCATGAGATCTGGCTGTTTAGAAGTGTGTGGCACCTCCCCACTCTCACTCTCTTGCTGCTGCTCCAGCCATGTAATATGGGCCTTCACCTTCTGCTATGACTGTAAGTTCCCTGAGGCCTCTCCAGAAGCTGAGCAGCTGCCAGCATCATGCTTCCTGTACATCACCATATAGCCAGGAGTCACAAATTAAAACAAAATACCACTACACATCTATTGGAATGGCCAGATCCAAAACACTAACAACACCTAATGCTGGCAAGGATTTGAAGCAAGAGGAAGTCTCATTCATTGCTAGTGGGAATGCAAAGTGGTACAGACACCTTGGAAGACAGTTTGTCAATTTTTTACAAAACTAAACATACTTGTACTATATGATCCAGAAATTGTGCTTCCTGGTATTTACCCAAATGAGTTGAAAACCTGCATCCACACACACACAAACATCTGCACATGGATGAGCCATACAGACATGGCGCTGAGGGAAAGAGACCAGACACCAATGAAAACCTACTATACTATTATTATCTTGAAGTTCTAGAACCAGCTACTTTGGTTATCCGTTGCTCCACAATAGGTTACACATAACATGCATTTATTACCTCAGAGTGTACAGTACTTACGTGGGTTAATTGCTAGGCTCTCTATTCTATTCCAATGATCTATTTCACTATTCTTTCACCAGTACACACACCATTTTCATTACTGTAGTTTTAGTAAGTCTTGAGGTTGGGTAGTGTCAGTCACCCAGTTTTCTTGTTCATCTTCAGCGCTGTGTTGGCTATTCTGGGTATTTTGACTCTTCATATAAACTCCAGAATCAGTTTGTCAGTAACTACAAAGTAACTTCTTGGATTTTCACTGGGATTGCATTGAAGCAAAAGATCAAGTGGGAAGAATGACATCTTGACAATATTGAGCCTTCCTATCCCTGAACATGGAATATCTCTCTATTTATTCTCCTTTGATTCATCAGAGTTTTACGGCTTTCCTCATATAGATCTTGTATGTTTTGTTAGATTTATATTTAAGTACTTCATTTCAGAGGGTGCTAATGCAAATGGTATTATGTGTTTAATTTCGAAGTCCACTTGCGCATTACTGGTATATGAGAAAGCCACTGACTTTTGTTTGTTAATCTTATATCCTGCAACCTTGCTTCTTGCTGTAACAGCTTATTAGTTCCAAGAGCTTTTTGTTTTTATTATTCATTTATTTATTTATTGAGATGGAGTCTTCCTCTGTTGCCAGGAGGCTGCAGTGCAGTGGTGCGATCTCAGCTCACTGCAACCTCCGCCTCCCGGGTTCAAGTGATTTTCCTGCCTCAGCCTCCCAAGTAGCTGGGATTACAGGCACACGCCACCACTCCCAGTTAATTTTTTTGTATTTTAGTAGAGACGGGTTTTCACCGTGTTGGCCAAGATGGTCTCGATCTCCTGACCTCGTGGTCTGCCTGCCTCGGCCTCCCAAAGTGCTGGGATTACAGGCATGAGCCATCACACGCAGCCTTTTTTTTTTTTTTTTTTTAAGACAGGGTCTCAGTGTGTCACCCAGGCTGGAGTACAGTGGCATGATCATGGCTCACTGCACTCCTGGGCTCAAGTGATCCTTGCACCTCAGCCTCCCAAGTAGCTAGGACTTCAGGTTTGTGCCACCATGCCTAGCTAAGTTTTTAATTTTTTCTAGCAATATGGTCTCACTATGTTGCCCAGTCTGGTCTCGATCTCCTGGCCTCAAGTGATCCTCCTGCCTTGGCCTGCCAAAGTGCTGAAATTATAGGCATGAGCCACTGCGCTTGGCCATCAGGAGCTTTTTGTTGATTGCTTTGAATTTTCTACATATACATTCATGTCACCTGTGAACAAGGACAGTTTTATTTCTTCCTCCCAATCTATATACATTTTATTTTATTTTTTTGTCTTATTACATTAACTAAGACTTCCAGTACAATGTTGAAAAGCAGTAGTGAGAGAAGACATCTCTGCCTTATTTCTCATCTCATGAGAAAGCTTTTAGTGTTTTTTTTTTTCATTAGGTAACATATTAGCTGTAGGATTTTTGTGTTCTTTATCAAATTGAGGAAATTCCCTTCTATTCCACATTTTCTGAAAGCTTTTATTATGAATGGGTATTGGATTGTGTTCAGTGCTATTTATATCATGTGACTTTTCTTATTTAACATGCGGATATGACAGATTACGTTAATTTTTGAATGTTGAACCAGCCCTGCATACCTAGGATGAATCCCATTTGGTTGTGGTGTATACTTCTTTTCATATACTGTTGGATTCAGTTTGCTAATATTTTGTTGAGGATTTTTGCATCTATGTTGAGGATATTGGTGGCTACTTTTCCTTTCTTGTAATGCCTTTGTCTAGTTTTGGTATTAGGGTGATACTGGCTTCATAGAATGGATGAGGAAGTACTCCCTCTGCTCTTATCTTCTGAAAAGTGATTGTAGAGAATTGGTGTAATTTATTCCTTAGATGAAATTCTTCCTTTGTAGAATTCACTAGCAAACCCATCTGGGCCTGGGGCTTTCCCTTTTGGAAAGCTATTAATTATTGATTTAATTTCTTTAATGGATATAGGCCTATTATGATTGTCTATTTGTTTTATATATTTTTAAGACTGTATTTTGATTTTTTTCTGAGAAAAGATTGCTGAGTTCATGGAAGTTAAATACACATGGGCTGCGACTCCCCTGGAAACAAAGTGTGGGTGCTCTCAGGGATGGCTTGGCTGGCTGAAGACCAGTTTTGGGATGTTACATCCAGCATTCTGCTATGAGGTTTACGTTTGCATGTGCGTGTTGGAGGAGGAACCTGTCTTCTTGCCCAATTAAGCTGGGAGCCTGCCCACCTCTCCCTAGCTCGTCTTCCTCTGTGTCTGTCACCTCCCAGCATTCCAGGATACATAGTCTTGCCTGAGGCTGGGGGTTTCACATCATTCTGGGGACTCTTTGCCACACCTCACCAATGGGACATGGGTGCTCAGAAGCATGGTTCCCCTATGGGACACTTAAGCCTCAATGGGCCCCCACCTCAGCGCCTTTGCACCCACTGTTCCTGCTACCTGGGACCCTCTTTGCCCAGCCTCTGTGTGGATGGCTTTCCTCCCACTCCTCAGGAAGTTTTCTGACAACTCCTGGAAGCCTTCCCTGCCCCTCCCATCTGCTGTCACCCTCCATTTTAGCCCTCTTTCTCAAGTTGCTTTATTTTCCTCCTAGAACACATCAGTATCCACAAGTCACATCTGTGGACCTGTTTGTTGTATCTGCTGCCATTAAGGTCAGCTGCATGAGGGCAGGGCCTTGCTTTATCCTTGCAGAGCTTAGACCCAGGCCTGACCCAGAATGGATGCACAGGCAGTATGTGGGGAGTGAGCAGAGGATTCCCTGCTCTGGACATGCCTCACCAGTGCCTCAGGCTGACCCTGCCCTGCCCAGTTCTTCTGGAGGCAGGTGTCCTGCAGTAGACTGAGTGGCCACACCCAGCAGGAGGGACCATAATAACCTCAGGTGGGCTTCAGGTGAGAGCTGGGCAGCCACCTGACTTCTTCTGCTGCCTCTCTGGTTGGAACTGGGAGGCCAGGATTTTCCCAAGGCCCTAGCCACTTTGCCATGCTGGACAAGCTGTGTTTTAGGCCTGTCCCCAGAAGCCCAGTCCTGGGTGACCAGATGGCCCTCACCCATCCCTGCCCATCTCAGCCCCACTTGGCCCCAGCTTGCAGGATGGCATGACTCACCACACCCATGTCCTCCTGCTCAGGGCTGCACCCACTCCCGTCCCCGTTACGCTGCTGAACAACAGTGGGGGACACACTTCACAGCAGCCCACAGGTGGCTTGGCCTTCCCCAGTTCTGTGCCGTGAACACCCACTCTGGTCTACGAAATATGAAGCAGCAGCAGCTTCCAGGCCCTTCTGAGCAAATGACTGCTTTGGGCGCCTGTGTGAAGTATGTTAGTGCTGCCAGGAACTGGGGGGTCAGGGTCGCTGTGGACCTCCAGCCACTCCAAGGGCCCCCCAGGAGCTTGGCGGCAGCAGAAGGAGCCTAGGGTGGAAGCTCCTTGGAAAGGCCTGGCTCTAGCCATGGGCTGCTTCAGGGTGGGCACAGGTGCCTGGGCCCTGCCCACCCCCAGCTCCAGCACCCTCTCTCCAGGATCCGGCCCACAAACGGAGCTTCACATGGAGCTTTTCAGACAATCTGGACCAGGCCAGGGCCGTGGACAGGGGTGGGGGCTGTTCTGCCAACTCGGCTCCCAGTGCAGAGGGATCCCAGGATGAGAGTGGCAGGGAGCCCCCGCCGGCCACCGCGCGGCACCTACATGCGGATCTGTGTGTGTTTCAGGGTGCGGCTCAGCTCCTCCAGGGTCTCCTCCATCTCCTGCCTGTTCTGGATCAGCGACAGGTTCTGCTCCTCCAGCTCTCGGAAGACATCCAGGAGCTGCTGGGGCTCCGTGAAGTACAGCTGTGGTTCCTGCAACCCACAGGTTTTGGCAGGGACTGGCCAGGGACAGAGCCAGAGGGGCAGGGATAGGGGCACGGCAAGGGAGGGGCGACTTCTGAATTCTAGTACAGCACTGGGCCATTCACCTCCCCATCGCTGTCGGTGTCCTCCTGCGTGAGGGGGATGGGAGAGTTCGACCTGCGAAGAGATGGCAGGGTCGGGACTCTGGGACCAGCCTGAGCAGACAGGAGCCCGGGGAGGGGCACAGAGGTCTTGAAGGCATTGTCAGCATCCCCATCCCTCCTCTCCCAGCTGCCCACAAGTTGCCCAGAGGGCAGCACCAGCTTCCTCACAGTCCCCAGCTGCCACACTGCAGCCAGGGGATAGTTTCAATCCACTCATTTTCCCAAGGCCCTAGCCACTTTGACATGCAGGACAAGCCATGTTCCAGACCTGTCCCCAGAGGCCCCAGTCCTGGGTGGCCAAATGGCCCTCACCCTTCCCAGCCCCACTGCACTTAGAAGAAAACCCTCTCTCCTCCTGGGGACTGCCAGGCGGCCCTCCCAGCACTCACCTTGCCTCCCCTGCCCCAGCCCCTCTGCCCGCCCGGTCAGGTCCCCTCTCTCTGGGTGCTGCGCTACCCCAGGCCTCTGCACCTGCAGCTCCGCTGGCTGCTGGGGCTGTCCCTCCTACCCCACCATTGTTTACTGAGCGCCACCTTTGAGGCCTTTCCTGCCCTGCCTCTCCCATCTAGGGTCAGTCTTGGCCCCTGTCCTTGGGGTCCCACTCACAGCAATAGAGGGACTCTCAGGGCTGCCTTCAGGTGATCCTGAGTGCCCAGGGGCAAGGTCTTTCTGGACCAGTGGAGAGGAGTTGGGCACAAGCTGTGTGAGCTTTAAACGCTCAATGTGGGCCCCAGAAGGCCCCACTGGATGGGGACCCACCTCCACCGACTTCCAAACCTGCCCTCCCAGCCTGCTCCAGCCTGGGCCTCACCTAGGATCTGCAGGTCCTGCTGGCTGAGGTGGGGGGGCTGCATTGGCTCGCCCCAGGCACCTCAGGGACCTGAGCTTGGGCTTGGAGATGCCACCCCCTAGCCCCCAGAAACAGAGAGGCATCAGGGCAAGGTCCTGTGGAACTCTGAAGGCAGATCCAGGAGGGCTTCCCAAGAGAGGCTGTGATATCAACTACAGCACTTGCCAGACCCACGCCTCACACTGCACACCGATGCCCATTTTACAGATGAGGGAGCTGGCTGTCTGCAGGGCACTGCTGGCCCATACGATGCCTTTCTGAGACTCCACCCTCCAGATGGATGTAGCCTGGATCAGGGAGCCTGACCTGGCAGTTGGTGGGGGTGGGCTGGACTTCAGCTCCCACGTGCCCTCTTGGCTGAGTGAGTGCCTTGTATAGTTCACAACCTGCCCAGCTGTACTCAGTGGCCCTGGTCACCTGGCTAATAGACGGAGGGGCTAGGAGATTGAAACCCAGTATAGTGTGGTCCCTGACTCTGTTCTCAAGTCTCCCAAGTCAGGGCCTGTCTGGTAGGGATCAGTCCATGGCTGAGGGGGGCCCTAGGCAGAGCAGGCTGCACTGCATACATTAGAACCTCTGCTCCTCAACACAGAACTGGAAATGCAGGGTGTCATGGCAGGCAGCATTAACACCAGCCTGTGCATGGCCCAGCAGCATGCCCCAGTGGTGGCTGGTCTTCCCCACAAGGCATGGCTGCGCTGGGCAGAGAAGAAAGCCAGCTTGGGTCCTCTTCCAGCTGGAGAAGCATCAGTTTGGGCCATGGGAGGCTGATGTTGGGGCCACCCATCTGGGTGTGGAGTTCAGGAACAGGCAGTCGTGGAGAGGGGAAGACAGAGGGTGGAGGGCAGAAGGGCTGAGCAGCAGATAAAGACCCTGTGGAGGAGAGTGGGTCGCCACAGACACAGGGCCAGGGCAGGGGTGTAGGGAGCAGCCCCGAGCCCTACAGTGCCCACTTTTCTCCATCCCCGCTTCTGCCACCCTTATCCAAGCCAATAAAAATCATCAGCTTCCAGAAGAAAACACAGGAGAATATTTTAGTGACTATGATGTTGGCAAATATTTCTTAAGCAGGGCCCCAAATTCACCAATCATAAAATTACAGATTGGTAAATTTGACTTCACTAAAATTAAGAATTCCTGTTCTTCAAAATACAGTATTAAACAGAAATAAGGTGACTGGGCGCAGTGGCTCACACCTGTAATCCCAGCACTTTGGGAGGCTGAGGCGGGAGAGTCACCTGAGGTCAGGAGTTTGAGACCAGCCTTCCCAACAGGGCGAAACCCTGTCTCTACTAAAAATAGAAAAAATTAGCCAGGCGTGGTGACACATGCCTGTAATGCCAGCCACTCAGGAGGCTGAGGCAGGAGAATCGCTTGAACCCGGGGAGTGGAGGTTGTGGTGAGCCGAGATCACGCCACTGCACTCCAGCCTGAGCAACAAGAGTGAAACTCCATCTCTAAATAAATAAATAAATAAATAAATAAGAAATAAGGCAAGACACAAACTGGAAGAAGATATGTGTACCACACTTACCACACCAGGCTGGTCCCCAGAATACATAGAGAACCAATAGGTAACCATAAGAACGAGGCCAATAATCCAACAAAAATGTACAGAAATCGGATACTTCACAAAAAAATGACATCTGAACAGCCAGTAAGTATGAAATGTATCCAGATGTGTCATCAGGAAAATGTCCTGAAAATCGTATGGTCCTGAAGACCACTTCACCCATGTAGTGACCATGACTTTGATGTTCTGTGTTTTGTTGCTTTTGACACCTGTGGCCTTGCCAAGCCTGGAGGGACCACCTCTCTCAGGGCTGACCAGTCCACGGAGACAGGAAATGACTCACCCTGGCCTCCGAGCTTGCCCTCAGCTCACCTTTCAAATGCAAACCACCCAATCCACTGTCCACACCCCAGCCAGACCCTCTATCGGACTTTCACACTCAGGACCTATCCCCCCAGGGCCAGGACCAGACAACCAGGGGCAGGCCTTTGTCCAAGAGCCCCGAAATTATTCCAGAACAAATCAGCCCTATACCTGCTCACCACCTCAATCTGAATTCCCATGGGAACCACAATGGAAACTCCTGCCCTAGGGCCCTACTCCCTCTGCCTCCTGGCCGACCTGGGACTTCCCAGTGTGGCCCTTCGTGGAGTAGGGACTGTGAGTAACATACTTTCTTTTCTGTGGCACTCAGACCTGACTACACGTGGGTGCCACAAGGGAGGGCTCCCTGCTAGGCCCCAGCCCCTCCCACCCACCGGAGTCCACTCACCCTCTGGAGTTGCCACCGCTAGACTCGCTGGGCTGGCTGCCTTGCTGGGGGCTGCTCAGATAAGACAGGCTCCGCCCCAGCCGCAGAAACCTCCAGGGCTTCTTTGTGCCCTGACCCTCTGGAGAAAGCAGAGGAATGGTTTCTGAACCCTGTGCAGGGCGGAGCCGGGCTCCTCAGGCTGGGGGCGGCAGCTCACCTTTGGCCCACACAGAGCTCGCCTTGCCCTTGATCCCTGGTCCTGCAGGAAGCAAAGGGGGGGTCCCGATGGCCTCAGCTGCAGCCAAGCTTCAGTGATGCCACGTGGCCCAGATGCCTGCAGGTAACCTGCCAGCTGGGCTCAGGGTCTCAGTGGGCCACTGGCAGAGCCCACATGGGAACCCACATTCTCTTTTCTGCTACCTTTGTCCCCTGGTGTGGAGTTAACACTGCCGTCTTTGGAAGCCTCGGAGATCTCCTTGGCGTTTTTGAGAAACAAGTGTTTCTTTTCCTGTTCTTCAAGCCACTCCTTGGGCGACAGCTTGTATAGGAAATCCTTGTAGACCTTGTAATGCTGCAGAGTGTCTTCAAATCTGGAGATCTCACTACATCGGGGTGGGGTGGGGTGGGGGGTGGGAAAGAGGAGGTCAGCCTCTGCCACAGTGAGGTCCCCATGCCGGGGTCACACCTCCATCCTGGCCAAGTCTGTGTGGGCTCCTTGTTTTCCTTGAGAAAAGGTGCAGGAATGCCACATGCTGGAAGATGGGCACCTACCCTGCAACAAGCAGAGTCACAGCCTTTTGTGACTTGCAAGTTCCTCTCCACCCTGGAGACCGCACCTCTCTCAGGCTGTAGCTGGGCAAGCCTTTGAGCCAAACTGCCTGCCTCCAAGTGGAAGCTTTGGGAGTCACTGAATCTCTCTTGGTCTCACTCCCCCTTGTCTATAAATGGGCAACCGCCTTATGGAAGCACTGAGTCCCTGGGAGGTAAAGCCATGAGGTTCACGTGGCGCTAGGCTCCCTTTGGCCAGGCCAAATGACTGAGGGACCAGGAGGTGGGCCAGTCAATGGCCAGCATGCCCTCTGACCTCACCTTTTGATATTAACAATCTGGGTGGTGAGGTCCCGGATTTCAAGGATCTTCTCTATCTTGGCTTTGGTCTCCTTCTCAGCCCTAGGAGTTGGGCGTGGGGGAGGAGGGATGGGGGCAGGGGGCCAGTGGCAGCCTATTAAAGAGGGGTGAGCCCACCACCCACAGGCCCCAGGGTTGTGCCCGGCTCTGGACAGGGCTGGAGAGCCACAGAGTTAATCCTTTTGCCTGTAGTATCCCCTGCCCTTGGCTCCCGACCAGCCCTGGTGCTTCCAGAAGTGTTGTAGGGGCTGGGGGCAGAGGCTGGGTGAGGGGATGGATGAGTGGGTGTGCACAGGCTCAGGGACAATGGGGGTTCGGCATTGCCCAGCCAGCCCCTCGGGCCTGCAGGCTCACGCTTTCATGGCCTGCACGGAGCTGCAGTCGTTCTCCCTGAGGAACTCGTCGAACAAGGCGGCATCCTTCGCCAGGGACTTCTCGGCCTGCTGCAGCCTGGCCTCCTCTTTGGTCGCCAGCGTCTCCAGCCGCTGGATCTCTCTCCGTTTGCAATCCAGGGTATACTGAGGGCCAGTAGAGTGGGGTCATGGTGCCTGGCCCAGGCCAGGCCCTGCTGGCATCCCTCGAGCTGGGGGCTGCGGGACCTACCTGGAGGAGGAACATTTGCCGCTTCTGCTTAAGGTAGCCACTCATGTTCTCAGGCTCCACATTCTTTTCTGCTGGAAGAAGAGGGAGATGAGCAGGAGCGGGAAGCCCAGGCTGAGGAGGGGCCTGGCAGGTCTGCAGAGAAGCCTTCCGCTGGCTGCTGGGCACTGCTTTGCGTCCACGCCCAGGTGATTACCGGGACCATGGAAGGGAGTGTTCTTGTCCTGTCTCCACAAAGAGAGAAGGCTCTGCCTGAAATGTTACATTCTCCATGGCCAGAGTCCGGCCAGGTGGGAAGTCCTTACTGTGTCTGACTTGCGCCTCTCTAAGTTTTTCCCACACATAGCTACCTGTGATGGAGTTATATTAGATCTATGAATTAGGCACAGTCAGAAATAATAACGACTCATAAAAATAGAACAATTATAACAATATGCTGTAATAAAAGTTAGGCAAATTGTCTCTTTCGCAAAATATCTTACTGTATTGTACTCACCTACTTTCAGCTCCGGCAACTGATGCCAAGGAAAGAGAAACCAAGGATAAGGTGGGGAACTATCCTATTAGGATTGAAAAGCTTTTAGGCTTGCAGTCCTGGAATAGAGCTTTGGGACCCCCCTGGAGGGGCCAAACACAGAAAAGGCGGGCCTTTCCAAAGCACTTCCCATCTGTGCAAGACGAGTGGCACCGAGGTTCCAAGCGCCCCATGCGCTGCGGTTGTGGGGCGCCACTGGCCCAGGTTCCCCCGCGCCGGAGGGGACGCACCTTTGGTCAAGGTGAGCTTCCATGTATTGTAGTCGCGGAAGGCGCGCAGATGGTCTGCCTCGGTGCGCGCCTCCAGGTCCTCCTGCTTATCCTCCAGCTGCAGCTGCCGTCGCAAGCTGGTGTGCTTAGCCAACACTTTGGAGGAGTAGGTCATCTTCTCGTGCACTCGCATCGTCTTCTGCTGCTGCCGCTCCTGGGGGCGTCGGGCCAAGTCGGGCGGGGCCCAGGCTCCCCACCCGCGTCCACTCCTAGGGGCGCGCGGGCCTGAGGCCCGGGACGCGGGTTTGCGCGCGAGCGCGGGAGGATGCCCGTGGAGCTACGCAGCGCGGGGACACGGGGGCTTGAACACAGCAGCCCCGGGCTGACAGCCAAGCAGGCAGGGCAACTGCTGGGGAGGCCAATTGCCCCTGAGAAGGGCGCCAGTCAGGGTCCCCTTGTCAAACACAGGCTGCCCGGTCGAATGAGTACTCCAGACCCACAGAGGGGACACGCTCACCCGAAAAGATGATGTCTCATTTTATCCGAAATCCACATTTAAGTGAGAGTCGTATATTTTGATGACCAGCCCAGGGCAGGGAACCTAGAGGCTCTGGGGTTCCCGAAAACTATGGCTGTGTAGTGGGTGTAGCCTAGCTGGAAGGTCACCGTTGGTGGCCATCTCCACCTGCTCTCCACCCCACTCCAGCTCCTGTGTGGCCTGGGGGTGGCTTCGAGCCAGCCCTCCCTTGGGAAAAAACCCTCGGAGGAGGGGGAAGGCTGGACTCACCTCCCCACATCCCCACCCTGCCCTGTGTCCCTTTTGCCATCCGGTTCTCACGGTAGGGATATCCCCTGCCAGCTCCACACCCTCTCCCACTTTTTTGCACCGGCCCGGGAGTCTCTTCATATGGACTTTCTAGGGTCACTTCTGTTTCCTGCTGGGACCTACCAGGTACACAAATGGCATCTAAGAACCCAGGCAAATGGGTCCAGCCTGAGGCCCCTGGAGTGCACGTCCCCATCACTGCAGTCAGGAAAATGTCACCTACTAGATCCTCAGGGTACAAGGTGGCCTTTAGAAGACATTGGGCAGCTGACTGAGGGCAGGGCCAGACTGAGGGGGACCCTGTTGGGAGTGGGAGGTGGTGGCGGTGAGTGTCAGACCCTGCTGGGTGGGGAAGGGTATAAGTGGGAGAACCTGCTGGGTAGGGGAGGTTGTGAGTGGGGTACCCTGCTGGATGGGGGAGGGTATGGTTTGGTGACCCTGTTGGGTCGGTGAGGTTGCGGTTCGTTGACCCTATTGCGTGGGTGAATATGGCGTTTGGTGACCCTGTTTGGTGTGGTGGAGAGAGTGTGTTGGATGAGACTCTTAGTGGAAGGCGGGGGAGGTCCTGAGCTAGGGCTGGGCTTGAGTGTAGAGGAAAACCGAGTGCCTCATTGGAGAAGATACAGTAGGGTAGCCAAGGCGTGGGTCAGAGAATCTCTGGGTCTCAGTCAGTCTAGGAATCACAGCCCACAGGCTCAGCCCTGGTTTCTGATGTGGAGGCCTGGGCAGGCTGAAGCCTGTGCATCTCCACCCATGCCCTGCAGATGCCAGTGTAGCTGTTGCTGCCTTGGGAACCACGGCTGTGAGGAATCCCTGAGACGCTGAGCCCTGAGTCAGGGGGAGGTGGATGGAGGCTGTGGGGCAGCCCAGGTGCGACCCTGGGAAGGCTGCCATGCCTGGCACGTGGGGCAGGGCTAGGTGCCCAAGGCAGCAAGAGTGGGCTGTCCCCACTCCAGGCTCATAGCTCTCAGGGCTGGGAAAGCAAGAGGACAGGCTGGGGTGAAGATGGGGCAAGAGTGGGGTCGGTGCTGGTCCAGGGACCCTAGGCACCTGGGGGAGCATGTGTATGCGTGCCATGGGTGACTCTGTGTGCGGATCTGACCTGCAGGAGTCCAGCCAGAGGAAGGGCACAAGGCCTGAGCATAGGGGGTGCCTGTGGGATGGGAGAGGGCCTGTGAGGGCTGAGCTGGGCCTTGGAGGACCCAGAGAGTATCAGGAGGGGATGGTGTTTCATGTAGGTGGCATTGGAAGTGGAGGTGAGGTGGCTGAGGCTGTTGCCACGGCAGCCCAAGAAGTCTATCTGACTGAGACCCAAGAAGAGTGGTGACAGACAGGGGAAGACGGGTGGGACACTGTGAGTCCTGAGAGCCAAGGAGAGTTTCCAGCTGATTTTGTAGGAAGTGGTGAGCCATTGACTATTCTGGAATGAGAAGGACCTGAGGAAAGTGCTCCTCCGAGAAGGGCAATGTGGCCACTCCAGGAAGCAGTGGGAGTAGGGAAGCTCCTGGAGGTGCTGGCGTCTGTCCTGGATACTCACGGAGAGAGCCTTATTCCGCTCCTGATCTCTGAGCAAGAAGAAATCCACATCCCCAGACAAGTGGAAAGGATTCGCCGAAGGGTCAGGACCACGCTCTGGAAAGGGAGACACCTCGCTGGAAAGGCGAGCCAGCTCTTCCAGGCGGTGGTCTGTGTCTCCGGGACCCCACTGCCCACCCAGCCCAGCATGGAAAAGCATGAGTGAGTGGGAAGGTTCTCCTGGATCCAGCTGTGCTTAAAGTCCAACCCTGGACCTTCCAGCTCCATAAAGGCACCTCTGTAGTTTAACCTGGTTTAAGTTGGGCTTCTGTCCCTGGCGCCTGAAAGAGAGCTGGTGAGCACAGCCTTGTCTCACACATCTGCCTTCAGTCAGCCCTCACTGCAGGCCTCTGGAGTCTCCCTTATGGAGGAGGGAGGCTGAGCCTGCTGTTTGTCAGTGATGGGCCTGGTGACCAGGGTCTGCTGACACTGAACTCACGGCCCTTGCTGTGGGCCTCCAGGTGAACTTGCATCTGTCTTTTCAGGCCTCTCAGTCCTCCCAGAGAAGGCCAAGAACAAAGTACTTCAGACCTGGGGAGGGACCAGAGGCCCAGAGAGGGGCTTGTGAAGGTTTGCTTTGCAGGGTGGACTCTCGTCCCGCTCATAATTCTACACACTGACTGCAATTCGGAGACGGAGCTGATGCCAGCGGCCTCCCTGTGAGCCTCAGGCAGCCAAGAAGTCAGGTGGAGAGGGTAAACTGAGCACCTGGGCTGCCTTCCCCGCCAGCCCAACACCAACCCCCCAGAAACGTTAGAAAACAAATGTAAAACTCCAGTACGGCTCTGGAAGGCAGGGAGGGTGGCTCTGGTGTCACAGAAGTTGTTAGGAAGCTCTGGGAGAGGGCAGGCAGATGGGATGGGGTGAGGAGGTGCAGCCTGGCACAGCTGCCGGGACGAGGGCATGGAGAACAGTGTGAGGCTCCAAGGCTCTGGGTGGCAGACACTGGGACACAGGCAGCTGGTGGAGGAACTGCCAGGCACTTGCTTCACCTTCCCAATGTGCACTTGCTCTTGCTCCCTGCTCCTGTCCAGCAACTCAACCAGGGCAGAGGTGTTTGCCCTCAATTAGGAATCGTGGGACCTGGTGCTTGATCACAGGGGCAGAGAAGTAAAATTCTTTATGCTCCCAAACTGGCGATGAGCACATATGGGTGGCCCATCCCATGTCCCCATCACAAAAGCAAATGATAGCTAGGAAGCACCCAGCACTTGCCATGGGCCAGACTGGGGACTTTCCATGATTTAATGTTCCTGACCACCCAAGGAGGTGGAAATTATGGTTACTCCCATTTTACCTCTGAGGAACTGAGGCTTGGAGCAGTCAGATACTCTGCCAAGGTCCCATAACTGTAAGTAGCTATGGGGAGACTGGCTTAAGAAGTCAGGCACTGCACCTGCAGTCTGGTGACTTGGGAGTGGTCAGAATTCATGTGAAGATGATTGACGTGTTTAGGTGAAGATGAGCCCGCCCCAAAAATGGCAGTCATTTGAGGCGAATCATTCCAAAAATGCAGAGTTGGTTGAATGTTTTTAAGCCAATCAATGTAATACCTTCCATTAACAGAATAAAACAGGAAATGATACAATCATTTCAAGAGATGGAGTACAATTATTTGATAAAATTCAAAGCTTATTTTTGAATAAAACTCTTAGCAACTAGGAATAGAAGGGAACCCCCAAATCTGATAAAGGGTATTATGCTTTTGCTGAGTAACAGCCCCCAAAGATGCCCGTGTCCTAATCCCCAAACCTGTGATAGTGTCACCTTCTGTGGCGAAAGGGCCTTTGCAGATGTGATTGAGCTAAGGATCCTGAGGTGTCCTGGCGTGTCCGGGTGGGCCCAGTGTAACCACGGGGGTCCTTGTAATTGGGAGGCAGGAGGGTTGGGGCAGAACGAGGAGTGCAGGAAGAGAAGCCAAGGTGGAGTAATGTGATAGAAACACACGGAAATAAATAATCTGCTCTTGAATGACATCTGGGTTAACAAGGAAATCAAAATGGAAATTTAAAAATTCTTTGAATTGAATGATAATAATGAGATAAGTTATCAAAACCTCCGGGACACAGAAAAACAGTCCCAAGAGGAAAGTTCATAGTGTTAAATGCCTGCGTCAGAAAGTCTGAGAGAGCACAAATTGACAACCTCATGTCACACCTCAAGGAACTAGAGAAACAAGAACAAACTAAATCCAAACCCAGCAGAAAAGAAATAGCAAATATCAGACCAGAACTAAATGAAATGGAAACAAAGGAAATACAAAGGATAAATGAAACAAAAACCTGGTTCTTTGAAGAAAATGAAATTGGTTTAGACCACTTGCCAGATTAACCAAGAGAAGAAGAGAGAAGATCCAAATAAACTCAATTAGAAATGAAACTGGAGATATTCATCCACCACCACAGAAATACAAAAGATCATTCGAGATTACTATGAACGTGTACGTGCACAAACAGAAAACCTAGAGGAAACTGGTAAATTCCTGGAAACATACAACTCTCCTAGATTAAATCAGGAAGAAATAGAAACCGTGAACAGACCAGTAACAAGTAGTGAGATTGAATCCGTAATTTAAAAATTGCCAACAAAAAAAAGCCCAAAAGCAGACGGATTCACAGCTGAATTCTACCAGACATTCAAAGAAAGATTGGTACCAATCCTACTAAAACTATTCCAAAGTATTGAGAAAGAAGAGATGCTCATAGAATCAAACCAGTATCACCCTGATACCAAAACCAGGAAAGGACAAAAAAACAAAACAAAACAAAACAAAACAAAAAACTACAGATCAATTTCCCTGACGAACATAGATGCAAAAAATCCTCAACAAAACATTAGCTAACTGAATCCAACAGCACATCAGAAATATAATTCATCATGATCAAGTGGGTTCCATCCCAGGGATGTGGACGTGGTTCAGCATACACAAGTCAATATATGTGATACATCACATAAACAGAATTAAAAACAAAAACTACATGATCATATCAAAAGATGCAGAAGAAGCATTAGACAATATTCAGCATCCCTTTATGATAAAAACTCTCAACAAACTGTGCTGCTACCTTTGAAGACAGAGTGAGAGGCTTGAGCCAAGCGATGCGGGCGGCCACGCCTAGAGGTTGGAAAAGGCAGGAAGATGGGTTTTTCTCCCAGCCTCCAGGAGGAAGGCAGCCCTGCCAATGCTTTGGTTTAGTCCTACAGGACTTCTGACTTCCAGAACTGTAAGATGAGCTATTTGTGCTGTTCTAAGCCTTTGAGTTTGTGGTGATTTGTCACAGCAGCAATAGGAAATAAATACAGATATCTACAAGAAACCTTCAGATGAGATACTGAATGTCCCTCCACCCATGTAGGATCAGACCAGGAGCAAGGCAAGGATGCCTGGTCTTGACATTGCTATTCTGCATTAAAATGAGGGTCCTCACTGGGGGAGTGATTCAAGAAAAAGGAATAAAAAGGTTGGACATGGTGGCTCATGCCTGGAATGCCAGCACTTTGGGAGGCTGAGTGGGAGGATCACTTGAACCCAGGAGGTCGAGGCTGCAGTGAGCCGAGATGGCACCACTGCACTCCAGCCTGGGTGGCAGAGTGAGACCCTGTTTCAAAAAGAAAAAAAGAAAGGCAGAGAAGGTATAAGGATCACAAACGAAGAGAAAATAATGCCATTCAAGGTGGCATGATTGTTTAGTAGAAAACCCAAAGGAATCTACAAATGAAGTGGTTACAATTAGGTCAATTAAGATGTGGTTTGTAGGTCTTATTGTGAAAGTAAAACAAAAAGTTGTAGAAGACACAATCAGAGGATATCATGACCTTGGGGGTCACTAAAGAGTTTTAAAATAAGACACTAAAAGCCATAACGAAGAAACGATTGAGCTACATGAAACTGAACTACACTAAAATTAGGAACTTTTTTTTTTTTTTGAGTCTTGTTTTTTTTTTGCGTCTTGTTCTTTTGCCCAGGCTGGAGTGCAGTAGCATGATCTTGGCCCACTGCAACCTCCGCCTCCTGAGTTCAAGCAATTCTCCTGTCTCAGCCTCCTGAGTAGCTGGGACTACAGGTGCCCACCACCACACCCAACTAATTTTTATAGTTTTAGTAGAGATGAGGTTTCATCGTATTGTTCAGGCTGATCTCAAACTCCTGATCCTAGGTAATCCACCTGCTTCGGCCTCCCAAAGTTCTGGGATTACAGGGGTGAGCCACTGTGCCCAGCCAGGAACTTTTTATTGGTGCCTTTTAGCACTGCACAGAGAGTAAAAGGCAGTTCCAGGAGTGGGAGAATATATCTGTCATCCTTAGAACTAGCAAGTGACTTCTACCCAGTAAAGAGCTCCGATAAGTCATTAAAATAAACAGGCAGTGCAACAGACAAGTAGGCAGAAGATGGAAACAGGTACGTCCCAACACAGAATCATCAAATGACCCAGAACCATGTGAAAAGGGAATGGCCCTCCCGGGTTACCAGGAAATATGAGATACTAACATATACCCAGAGGACAAAGTCATATTAAAAGGATCAACAGTGTCCCAAGTTGGAGAGGACACAGAGCAACTGGAAGTCGTATGCCTGTTGGTGGGACTGGGAATTGGCACAGTCCCTCTGGAAAACTTCATTTATCCACTAAAGTTAAACACACAACCAGCAATTCCACTCTTGGGTGTGTACCCAGGAGATGCAAGTGCTTATGTCCCCAAAGTGACATGTACAAGACTTCATAGCAGCATTATTTGTAAAAACTGGAAACAACCCAAATGTTCACCAGCAATAGAAAGAATAAATGCTTGGCATATGCACAGAAGGGACTCTGGCTAGGTGCAGCAATGTGGATGCCTCTCATAGACCGGATATTGAGCGAAAGCTGAAACTGAAAGGCTAGAGAGTGTGTGATTCCATTTACAGGAGGCTGGAGAGGAGAGCCAGTGGTTTGGTGGGGATAGCTGAAGAGTGGCTGTCTCTCCGGGAAGGATAATTTCTGGGGAGATGGAAATGGTCTAGATCTTCATAGGGTGGAGGAAACACATTGTACACATTTGTCAAAACTCACAAACTGGGCCAGGTGGTGTAGCTCATGCCTATAATCCTAGCACTTTGGGAGGCCGAGGCCAAAGCACTAATTGAGCCCAGGAGTTTGAGACCAGCCAAAGCAATATGGTGAAACCCTGTCTACAAAAAATACATAAATGAGCCAGGTGTGGTGGTGCGCACCTGTTGTCCCAGCTACCCGGCAGGCTGAAGCAGGAGGATCGCTTGAACCCAGGAGGTTGAGGCTGCAGTGAGCTGTGATCGAACCACTGCACCACAGCCTGGGTGACAGTGAGACCGTGTCTCAAAAAAAAAAACAAAGGGATAGATGGGTGACTGGGTGAATGGCTGCCGTGATAGTTTGTGCGGAGGGTCAGGTGCTCACCCCCAGGGCTCTCTCCCTCCCGTGCCTCTGCATCCACAGCAGATGCAGGTGCTCCCTCTGCCCATGAGAAGAGCCCGGTGACCAAGGGGAGCCAGGATCTAGTCAAGCACCTGGGGCTAATGTCCAAGGGCAGGAAGGATGGGCACAGAGAAGCAGTCCCAGTGCCAGCATCAGGAAGCAGACACACAAATGCAGAATGGGGACACTGGGCCCTGCTGCAGGAGAGGCGACACCACTGCTCAACAAGTCAAAGGCCCGAGAGTGATGGGATGGGCCAGGGAATGGGCTGCTAGATTCACAGAGACTGAAGGAGCTCAGGTCTCCTTTGAATCCTGATTAGAACGAATCTTCTACAGAAGATGTTTCTGAGATAACTGGGCCAGTCTGACCGTGGGTTGGGCTGGTTCACTTTGTCAGGTGTGGTGATGGTGCTTGGGTTTGTGCGGAACACCCCTATTGTTGAGAAGTGCACACTGAGGTGGATGAAATGACATGTCTGGATTTTACTTTAAAATATCCTGGCAAAGAAAAAGAGGGAAAGGACAGAGGAAGCAAATGGGCACATTTGAGTCAGTGGCAGAACCTGGTGGTGGGTCTGTGAGGCTCGCTGGCTCCAATCTCTACATCTGGACATGTTTGAATTTTCATTTTATAATTCCATAATAATAAAAGAGAGGAAATGTGGTGGGGAGAGGGGTGGGAGCCTGGGCCATGGAGCACAGGCTGGGAGAAACGCTCACATCTGCAGACCTCAGCGGAAGGACCAGACTGGTCTGTTAGCCCAGGGGCAGAGTGGGAGACAGCAGGGAGTCCAGGCAAGGGAGGTCGGAGCCACAGTGCAGGAGGTGGCGATGCCCTGTGCAGGGCTACCAGGGTGAGGTACATGCAGCTAGCTAGCTGCCTGCCCTCCTTCCTCCTAACGGTGGCAGCAGTGTGCCCTCCTTGTAGATCCTGATGGCCATATGGCAAATTTAGCTGCTGGAATGTGGGAAGACATTGCTGCTTGGGACTTTGGGGAAGAATCCTTTCCCCTAGAAGGCTAAGTTGGCTGGAGGGTAGTTTTGCCCTTCCCTTTGTTCCTTTCTCTGCCTGGAATCAGATGTGCTGAGGCTGGAGCTGCAGCAGCCATTTTGTGAGCATGAGACAATCTTGTGGTTGAAAGCCCTAATTCCTTTCTGGTGGAGCAGAGAGACTTGGGGACTTGGTCACCTGAAAGGTTTTATGGAACGGCTGTTTATGGAGCCTCAGGAAAGCCTGCACTCCCTCCCTACATTTCTCATTAATAGAGGGAGCAATAAGTCTTACTTTGTTTACGTGCCTGTTATTTCAAGTCTCTGTAATCCAATTCCTAATGGAAAGAGAAGCATTTCCTTTTGCCCTTAGCTCTCAAGACCTGGTCTGAGGGGGTCTGGGGGCAGAGGGAGAGGAGTTGCCTCCTGCCAACTTGGACTTTAGCCTCCCAGCTTGAAGGTTACCTTTGGGTTTTTTTGCCTGTTTCTTTGGGTTCTCTTCAGCGCTTGAGGAAGAGCTGATGTTCATGGATTCCAGGCTGTTCTCTGAGGAGACACAAAAGTGAGGGCCGCAGCAGTGACTCCCCTGGCCCATGAGAACTGTGAACACAGCCTGAGGTGGGGAATGTCTCAGACACACAAGGGTTCAGCGTCAGCTCCCTCCCCTGTGAGACTGAGGGCTCTAGGTCCCAGATGATCACACTGACTTTGCTGGGAAGTTGTGAGAATTGTGCAAGAAAATAGCCTGGGAATTCCCTAGCACCTGTGCCTGGTGCACAGATGTTTTGTGCCTCCCCTTTCCCATCCTTCAGTGTGTGCCTTAAGAGTAGCAGTGCAAGGCTGTTTTACAGATGGACATACTGGGACCCAGGGAGGACAATGACCCCAAGCCTCTGACCCTGGCTTGGCCAGTGCCTTGCCTCCCAGGGGCTTCCTGCAGGACTTGGATGGAGGACCCTAAGACCCCACCTCCTCAGGGAGCTCCCACCCCTATCCCACTGTGAGGAGTGGCCCTTCTGACCAAGCAAGGAAACTGGAGTTGTGCTGCCTGGAAGCTACAGCCGATTTTCTCCCCAAGGCCAGCAAGTCTCCTCCCCGTCCGGGGTGGGCTCCCCAGCACCCTGCTTCTTCAGGTGACTACTCAGGTGTTACTGCTGGGTCCCCAATGCCTTGCAGTTCTCTTCAACCAATACCCATAGGGAAGGAGGCATGTGGCCTGACACCTCCTCCATTCCCACCCAGGAATCCTCTGTAGCTTGGAGATCCTGGTCATTGCCTGAGGGACAGGGACTGCCAGAACATGGTCTCTGGTGGGCTGCTCAGGGTGCCAGTCCTCCTGGGGTGGGATGGGGGAGGGGCTGTGTGGTCCCCGAGTGAAACAGTGAGCAGGAAGACAGGGCTTCTCTTGAGGTGGGGCTCTGATACCAAGGCCCAGGCCCTGAGCAGATGGTCATGGGGTGAGGGAAGAGTGAGGAAGATGGCGGGAGTCTTGTGGGACAGGTGGGAAGGCCAGGCCTAGGCTGAAACTCAGAGGGCTTCAGGGCCATGCAGAATCCATAATGTATAGTCGGGGAGGCAGAGGCGGTTGGGAGGGGTGAGGCTGGGGAGAACTCAGGGGCTCGGCTGCTGAACCATGATTGTCCTCTAACTCTCTTAGTAGGCATGTGGTTAGATTTCCAGGTAGAATTTAATTAACCATATCATATACATCAGAAGATACCACTGTTATTTAAATAGACCAAAACCCAAACCACACAAACCAAAAGGCTATTAGAAATGAAAAAGCAACGGATCTAGATGAGGTCCCAGTTACTAGGGAGGCTGAGGGGGAGGATCCCTTGAGCCCAGGAGGTTGAGGCTGCAGTGAACCATGATCATGCCACTGCACTCCAGCCTAGGTGACAGGGTGAGACCCTGTCTCTAAAACAAGAAAGAATGAAAGAGCAATGCACATATATAGCACATATTTCAAACAACACAGGTTTGATGTATTGATATGATGAAACAGCCTCACCTGAAGCTTTTGATACCTATATATTTTATTTATTTTATTTTATTTTATTTTATTTTATTTTTGAGATGGCGCCTTGCTCTGTTGTCCAGACTGGAGCGCAGTAGCACGATCTCAGCTCACTGCAACCTCCACCTCCCAGGTTCAAGCGATTCTTCTGCCTCAGCCTCCCAAGTAGCTGGGACTACAGGTGTGCACCACCACGCCCAGCTTATTTTTGTATTTTTTGTAGATACGGGGTTTCACTATGTTGGCCAGGTTGGTCTCAAACTCCTGACCTCAGGTGATCCACCTGCCTTGGCCTCCCGAAGTTCTGGGATTATAGGTGTGAGCCACTGTGCCCGGCCAAGATTTTTGCAGATCTGACTAGAAGTATTTTATGCACTGTTTTTTTACCTGTTTCTTTGACAAAAGAACATACACTTATATGCCCTTGCTTTTTCACTAAAAAACTCACCTGCTTACACACAAAAACGGAAATGAACCTTATGGACATTACACTTAGTGAAACAAGCCAGCCCCAAAGGACAAATGCTGTATGCTGCCACTCACAGGAGGTCCCTAGAGCATTCAGAGACTAAGTAGAACAGTGGTCACCAGGGCTAGGGGAGGAGGAATGGGGAGCTAGTGTTCAGTGGGGATGGAGGTTCAGTCTGGCCATGAGAAGAGTTCTGAGATGGAGGGTGGTGATGGTCGCACAGCAATGTGAATGTGCTCAATGCCACTGAACCATACATTCAAATATAGTTAAGATGGTCAATGTTATGTGTATTTTATCACAATTTTAAGACTTGAAAGAAAGATCATCTGTGGCTGGGTGCAGTGGCTCATGCCTGTAATCCCAGTGGGAAGGCTGAGGTGGGTGGATCATAAGGTCAGGAGATTGAGACCATCCTGGCCAATATAGTGAAACCATGTCTCTATTAAAAATACAAAAATTAGCCGGGCATGGTGGTGTGCGCCTGTAGTTCCAGCTACTTGGGCCGAGGCAGGAGAATTGCTTGAACCCAGGAGGTGGAGGTTGCAGTGAGCCGAGATCGTGCCACTGCACTCCAGCCTGGGTGACACAGCAAGACTCTGTTTCAAAAAAAAAAAAAAAAAAAAAAAAAAGCTGGGCATGGTGGCTCACGCCTGTAACCCCAGCACTTTGGGAGGCCAAGGCGGGTGGATCACAAGGTCAGGAATTTGAGACCAGCCTGACCAACATGGTGAAACCCCGTCTCTACTAAAAATACAAAAATAAGCCAGGCGTGGTGGTGCATGCCTATAATCCCAACTACTCGGGAAGCTGAGGCAGGAGAATCACTTGAACCCAGGAGGTGGAGGTTGCAGTGAGTTGAGATCGCGCCACTGCACTCCAGCCTGGGTGACAGTGAGAGACTCTGTCCCCCCCCCAAAAAAAAAGAAAAAAAGAAAATTCATCTGTTCACACACAAGTCTCATCCATACTTAGCCAAGTCCCTCGGAGGACCCTGGGGTTTTTTTTCTAACATCTTTTGCAATTTCCGAATTTTTGTAATGGTTACTCTTATAAAATAAAATTTCAGAATGCTCTAAATTTATTAGGCCAAGGAGGAAGTTAAGCCCTGGCACCTGACGTACATAACCTGTTTGCAGTTCTGCTTCTTAGGGAGTAACCCTCCTCCGGAGGTTGCAGTGAGTCGAGATTGCACCACTGCACTCCAGCCTGGGTGACAGAGCGAGACCATCTCAGAAACAAAACCTCATTGTTCCTGCTCTGTGAATGACCGGGAGACCGGACACCAGAACTCCCGCTTCCAATCACTAGACTTTGTTACAGATTAACTGCCTCTTTATTGTCCCATACCTAATTCAGAGCAGATGGCACCCAGGACCCCATGACAGTTGCATCTGCAGTGTGGAATGATAAATATACCTGTCCAGAGAGAAAAGGATCCCTTAGCAAGTCAGATCCTTGTAATGTGCATGCAGCCTTCCATAGAAGGATGCTGAAATTCTGCTAAACTTCCCAAAGCTTTGTCTAGATAAACAATCTTAAACTTCTATACTTTGGAACATGGGCTTTCATTCTCTGGATCTCTGATTACTGGTGACCTGTCCTCAACTTTGTGCTTGGAGAAACTCTAAACCTGATTCTGACTCTTTTGGTTATTTTAGCTTGATACTTTCCCATCACCAACTTTAGTGGGACTGCTTTCCCTACACCGGAAACTGTCACTCTAACAGGTCACAAAGGGCATCTCAGCTTTCATTTGCCTTTCTTAATTCGGAAGAAACTGTGTGTCTTTTCGGATGTTAATTATCCATCTTCTTGCCTCATTCTGTGAGTATCCTTTGCCCATTTCTCTACTGAAGTGTTCTAGTTTCTAGATGATTCTTGAAAACCTTCATCTATTATATTGATGGACACTGGCTCATTTGTCAGATATGCTGAAAATAATTCTCCTTCAGGCAATTTGACTTTATCATTCATTTTCCTTGTATGAAAATTAAACTTTCACTTAAAGAAATGCTTTGGGGTTTAGTGTCTTGTTTAGAAAGGCATTCTGCCACTGAAGTTTAAATATTTTTTAGAAAATTATTGTGTTTTCTTCTAGTATTTTAACATGATTTAATTTTTTAACTTAAAAAGTCTCTATTAAGGTATAAGTCTACTTTTATAATAATTCAGGAGAAATAGGAAAAGAATGAACTGGTTGTGAAACTTTCTCATAAAAAAGAATAAAATAGGCCAGGTGCGGTGGTTCACGCCTGTAATCCCAGCACTTTGGGAGGCCGAGGCAGGCAGATTACTTGAGGCCAGGAGTCCAACAACAGCCTGGCCAATACAGCAAAACCCCATCTGTACTAAAAATACAATAATTAGCCAGGCATGATGGTGCACCTGTAATCCCAGCTACACTGGAGGCTGAGGCAGGAAGATCACTTGAACCGGTGAGGTGGAGATTGCAGTGAGCCGAGATTGCACCACTGCACTCCTGCCTGGGTGACAGAGTGAGACCCTGTCTCAGAAAAAAAAAAAAAAGATAAAATACACTTGACTGGGCACTCCATTCATGTGACATGAGTTCCGAACATCAGAAGGTCCCTGTATCGTCTATCCATCAGAGTCTTTTGGGCTGTGTCCTGGGCCATTCTCTCTCCTTTCCTCCTAGACGCCTCACCAGTGCCCATGGCTTCAGTTCCGGCCCCAGCGGATTTGCTGATGCCCTCATGTTTCCACCCACTCTCCTGACCTCTGGGCCTCCATCCACAGTAGCCTCTTCAGAGTCTCGGCTGGGAGTTTCCCACCGGACACTGACACCCACACATCGCCAACTGAGCTCCTGGACTTCCCCCTCCTGCGGAACCTGCTCCACCCCTGGCCTTGGCCATCTCAGCAAACAGCACTGTGATGCACAGGTGTCACTGAGGAGACAAGGCATCCCCAACGCCCTCTTCTCCCTCATTCCATACCTGATCTCAGTCAGTCTCCAGATCCCACAGACTCTCTCCTGAGGAGCACTGGACCCAGCCACCCCTGCCACCTGCACCCTATTTGCTGGTTCTCTGT